AAGAAAAAGTGTTGGTAGGACAAGGGACTAAAATTGGATCTCCAAGACCACACTCATCAGACGAAACGCCGAATTACTCCCGCTTCACGCCTGTCTTCTGTGTGGTTGTGGTATTTCACCGGGCGAGCCGACCCATTCGTGCGAAGATGTTAAACCAGTGGTAACAAACTATTGATGATATCTATTTATACTATCCTTCTGGAAATCGAAGTCGTAGCCCTTCAGATAGAAAAAATTTCTCACCCTTATTTTCACCGTTGACCTTAATAAACGCGGTTTTATTAAATTTCCTTGTGCTGAGTAACGCCCGCAAGATTTCCTCGGCCCTTTCTTCTGAAATTGTTTTATCTTGACCTCTTACATTATTCCAAGTGACGAAAACATTTTTCCCGCTATAATGTATAGCGTAACACTTTTTATGAAAAAATACCAGTTTCCATTTAATGCAGGATTATTGAGCCAATATTGTTCAGTTACTTTTACGTGTAAGAAAAGTTACATAACAAGTCTTGTCGTTTTACGTCTTTCGACCGTAAATTAGTCTGCGTGGATTAAAAAAGTATAAAAGATAGTAAGTAACCTGTGTTCTTCCAGACAATCCTTTATATCTATGCTAAATTTAATCGAGATCCGTTCAACAGTTTATGCTATAAACTGTATTATTCCCAACAGTCACTCCGCTCTGTTCCCATGTGGGGACAGTTGGAATAAAAAGTTTCATCTGTCCCACCTTTTGCGACGAAGGAACGGTTGGAACTTATTTAATAACGGTTCCATCTGTCACCGTATTGGTGATATAGACTAAAAGGTGGGACGGATGAAACTATTTATTCTCAGGTGGGGACACGTGGTGACAGTTGGGAATAATCCAATAAACATCCATCTATCCAAACTCTGTATTTAAATTAGTAACAATAAGATTTCGGGATACGAACCAATACCCATTTTCTATAAAAACTAACCTCTAAGCTACCAGTTCCGCAGTTAATAATTTATACCGTAATAAAA